TTTCCCTTGATCTAAGGAGTGGCAGGATTGGAGCTCGTGGCAAGGGTCACGGTGGAGACGTGAGTGGGACAATGCCAACAACCGCCCGACTTGGCAGTGGGACGATGGAGCAGCCCAAACCCAGGGTCAGAACCACTCTCAGCAGGACGGAGGAGCCACGAACCCACAGGACAGCACAGCACCAGCCCAGACGCAGAGTCAGGACCAGCCTCAAGACGACGGAGGAGCCACCAACCAGCCTCAGGACAGCACAGAACCAGTGCAGGGGCAGAGTCAGACCCAGGAAGCCCAGCAGCCTCACCAGAATCAGCAGGGCAATGGCAAGGATGGTAAAGGCAAGGGAAAAAGCACTGGCAAGAGTCAGGGTCAGCATCCGGGCAAGGGCAAAAAAGGCGATCAGACTGCTTCTCACCACTCGCCCGAGTACCACCTGTTCCCAAATGATGATGATGGAAAAGGCCGAGGCAAGCCTGACAGACCCCAGCGTCAGGCTGATGCAGCAACGACAAGCGGCCAGGGTCAGAAGGGCGGCCTCTCTTTGAGAAGGCCGCCGACTCGGGATGACCTGGTGGAAGTCTTGCAGCTTGCCTCAAACATTATGTGTTATTTGTCAAGTGTCATGCCGCACTTAGCAGTCAGTGTCAGGTCAGAAATGGCCCGCGACCTCAGAATCTCGGAGACGGCCTTGCAGAGTGTCATATCGCTGATCGACTACGGCAGGGACGGACACATCAGACTCAGCCTCATCATGTGCCACAGCTTCATTTGGAGATTCACTTTGTCTCTCTCTCTCTCTCTCTCTGTACATCTGTCTGTAGCTGTGTCTGTGCACTTGTGTGTGTGTGTCTGTCTGTGTGTGTGGCAGCAGCTGCTCAAGCTGAGGATGCAGGCCGTTCAGGCCAGGTACACCAATCCGGGTCAGCGTCTGGACGGTTGGGTGCTGTCCAGGGTCCATAGCGACCGGGCAATGCTTCAGGAGCGTCGTGAGGCCGCCAAGGGTGGCAAAGGCAAAGGGAAGCCCTAGCTGAGCTGGCAAGGACCCTACAGTGTCAGACATTTTTGCTCTGTGACTTCGGAAGCTGCCCTAGAGTCCTTGGCAGTGTCAGAGAAACTTAGATGACATAGTTAGCCCCCGTGCAATTTAACCAACAATTCTCGTCATTGGATAAGTTAATAGTCTCACTTAGTTGTCTTGCTTCAGCTTCCGAAGAGAGCGCAGAGAGTGCCGCTGAATTGTGTCTAGCCCAGCTCTAGAGTCAGGATAAGAGCCGTGGCCGGACACGTGTCAAAAGTGATGCTCCCTCTGCACTTGCCGGTTGCAACCCTTGAAGCTGTTTGAGTTTTAAAGAAAAAATCCCCTGGGCCGTGCAGGTGCTATACCTGGTCAGAGTCAACACCGGTGGCTGGAGTCCAAGAGTGAGGGGCAGTGTCAGTCTTTTGCAGTGCTGACTTCTGACTGAGCGTCTGGATGCCCTGTGTCAAGCGAGGCTTTGCAGAGTAAGTCCTAGCATGTCAGAATCACATTGCCCCTGTGCTTTGCAGGTGCTCTGCCTGGTCGGCCCCAGTGCCGCTGGCCCGTTGCAATCTTACAGGCTTCTTAGCCCCTGAGCTCTTCAGATTTTCATTGGTTGCTGTCTGGGCTTCGCAGGTGCTCCGGCGGGACCGTGTCAGGGCAGGAGCCCCGTTTGGTACCCATGCGTTCGCATGCTTCTTTTCCCGACTCTGGCCAGGTCTTGTGCCTGCTCAGAGTCAAAGCCGGTGGCTGGAGTCCAAGAGTGAGGGGCAGTGTCAGTCTGTGCTGAGTGCTGAATCTGAACTCTGTTCTTTGTGCTGCTGCTGTTGCTTGGGTCTTGCACTGCTTCTGTCTTGCAGCACTTTCAGGTTTCAAGATGGCAAGTTATCTTTGAAGGCAGTGCTGCACCCTAGCATTGAGCTGTAACACTGACTCTGTCTTTCAGACTACATGTGGGACATCAAATCAGGGTCAAGCTCGACTAATATTGATTCAATAGTCAGACTCAATTCACTTTTAAATTGACTTCGTATGCAGTGCTACTGTCATCGCTCATCCAATGGCCGGATGGAAATGCAAAGTCTGTTCAGCGTCAACATGGCGAAGACCGCCAGGCAATCTATGTGTTGGCTGCAAATCTTCTCGCCGTGGTCGGCACAACATTCCTCCACGGGTGCCATTCAAGGGCAAAGGGTCAATAACTGCTGAGGGAAAGCAGGAACCTGTCCGGTGCCAGACACCCCCCCGTCGACTCAGAGTCAATGTCAGCGACGAGCCGAAGCAGACACCCCCCGATGAAGTCAGAGACAATGTCAGCGAGCCGAAGAAGGAGGAGATCATCGTCGACAGAAACGCTGGACAGCTACTCCGGGAAGTAGAGGAGGAGATGAAGAAGGCCGGCAAGGCAGAGTCAGACCAGGACAATTCCAGTCCTAGGGTCAAGCTCCTGAATAATCTGGAGTCCACAGTTCTTGTGGAGTTGAAGCATCTCTTTGGACCTGCCGTGGCGTACACAGTGGTGGCAACTGCCATGACGATTTTGGACAAGTTTCAGAGTCACGAAGCTCCCTTGCCTGCAGAGTCACAATCCTGTGCCAGAAGTCTGGCCTCATATGCCTCTTTGCTTGTTCAGGTGTGCCTGACGAGGACATGAAAAGGAAGTCCTACCTGGCTTTTTTGACACAGCAGCAGCTGCTGAGTGTCAATGAAATGAGGAAGAGGGAATGCTGGTGGGCTATGTTGGCACCATTTTCTGCCAAAGGCCATGGTGAGAGCGTGACCTGAGATGTCAGTGTCAGAGGTGTCTGCTGTGTTGCCACCATTTTCTGCCAAAGGCCATGGTCAGAGCATGAGCTGAGATGTCAGTGTCAGAGGTGTCTGCTGTGTTGGCATCGTTTTCTGCCAAAGGCCATGGTGAGAGTACGACCTGAGATGTCAGGGTCAGAGGTGTCTGCTGTGTTGGCACCCTTTTCTCCCAAAGGCCATGCTGAGAGTACGACCTGAGATGTCTGCGAAACAATCAGTGGCCTTGGCGCCATTTTCTGCCAAAGGCCATGCTTCAGATGTCCGTGTCAGGGGCGTCTGCGAAAGAAAAATCAGTCGATCGTCGCAGTGGCGGATGTTTGCACTGCGCTGCTGCACACATGATGCCTTATGTCTCCGTCAGTCCGAGTCATCCCTGCAGCCCTGAGGTCCTGTCCGAGACCAGGCTCCTCTTCTCAGGCTCGGCTCTGAGTTCCAGCCTGGGCACTGCAAGCGTTCGAGTCATCTGGGAATGCGAGGTTAGCACTGATGCCCGAATTTTCCTCATTGCTTACTCTAGTCATGAAGGTGTTACTGTGTATAATGTCACACTCAGTCAATGGATGACACTGCCCAGGTGCTCACTCAGGTCGATCGTTCGAGAAGGCCGCAGAAATCATTGTCTGAGGCCCTTAACTTAAACCAGGCAGGGTCTTGTGCGGCAGGACCCATGCGCCGCTAGGTAGCTCTAAGTACTTTCTAGTAAGACTACTTGCGGCAGGAGCCATGCGCCGCTAGACGTAGACAGGGTCAAGTAGACTTTCTGCCTTTTAATAATTTAATTCCTGGGTTCTAATTTCAACCTCTTGCGACTACTTGACCCAGGGATAGGGAAAGGGTTAATGGGTGGTTCGAAACGTGACACAGAGGAGCAGTTGATTAAAAGCACCATTCGTAATATTAGTAGTCACACGATAAAATAAGTGTAAAAATACAAATAAATGAAAAGGTGAAGTTTCAATGCAACTAAGAAATTGAAACTTCAACTGAGAACACGAGTATTACTACAATTAAAAAAACTATGTTTGAACAAAGCCGCTGGGTTCGTGTCTCCATGCAAGAGCTGGCAGGGTCTTCTGCGGCAGGACGTTTGCGCCGCTAGTTAGTAGTGTCATACCTGCACTCAGCACTTGCGGCAGGAGCCATTCGCCGCTAGACATTGACACGGGGTCCACTAGACTTGCGCCTGATGAGTGGGTTGGAATCTTGCCTTGGTCTTAGAATAATAATCATAATAATAATATTAATACATAATAATATTTAATATTTAATAATAACCATAATAAGCTATTCTCTGAGCTTCTGGAAACGAAGAGTCAGGACAGCGTGCAGGTCAAGTTGTCCTTGAAGGGCTCGAACTCATGTGCTGCCAATCCTGTGCAACTTGGCCAGGCTGACTCTACGTCCGCCCACTTCTGCCATGGTGTCTAGCTCAGCTTCTGCCATGGCTTGTTGCTCAGCTTTGCCCTGGCACTTTAGAGTTTCTCATGCCTCGTTGGTGCGGCAAAGGCTTTCAGATCAAACCTAGTAAGCTTTACGAACTTGCTTATGTTCGTTTTGTGTCCCACGCTGATCAGTCCTGCAATTCAATTATCACAAAGCCAGCAACATGTTTTGAGACACGGGATGCGTCATGCAAGCAGGACTAGGAATGGGAATGTGACGTGGTGTCAGCTTCTGCCATGCTGGCCTCTGCTGCTTGTTATGCCCAACCAGCGAGCAGGTTGTCTGGAGTCGGGGCGGCTCGACAGGAACAGAGTCAGGCTCGTGCCCAAAGTCGACGGGACCTCCCGAGTCAGAGCAAGAAGAGACCACGAAGTGTCAGCAACAACTCTGTCACTGCTGGAAAGACGAGGAAGCCGCTTGCTCGGCGTCCGCAGCTTGTTCCGCCGAAGGCGAAGGCTGAGGCGAAGAAGTCTGCGGGTTCTGGAAAAACCCAGCGTCAGCGGCGAGACAAGGCATCAGGGTCAGCGGCTCCTGAGGATGTGGTCAGACTGGATGGCTCTACTCGTCCAGCTAGTACATGCAGACACACGAGCTTTACAGCGTCATGTGCGCAGTGTTGGTTTCATCGCCACGGACCAGATTGGCAACAGAGTCACGGAAGCTTCCTGTCCAAACGGGTCAATGGCCGCAGTGTCAATGTGGTTTGGTTGCAGCAGAAGCCAAGTGCCATGCCTGGTCCATGGGGCATCGGCTGCGCTGTGTGCAATGCGTGGAGCAAGAAGCTGGAAGGCCACCCTCGATCAACTGTTTTACGACGCCTGAGTCAACGAGTGTCAACAAAGTGGTCGAGGTACGAAATCAACAAGCTGAGCCAAATGCAGGCTTCGGCAGTGCAGCTACACGCGAAGAGTCAGATTCACATGGCAGCTGTCAAAGCATTCGAATCTCCGGACTTGCCTTTGCAGGCACTCTTACCGCGCAGCAAATGTGATGCTGACTTGTTGAAGGGCGCCGTGCCCCAACCGGGCGATTGGTTGGGGGCGTTTAGAGCAGCTCAATCACCAGTGTCATTTCTCAAAGCAGAGAAACAGTGTCAGACAGCTGCTTATGCTTCCATACGCTCAACTTACAGCAAGAGGCGTCAGCTGAAGCAGATGACTTCCATCATGGTGGAGGTGACACGTCAGAGGAAGCGTCAGGCCATTTTGAATGCTGCTCACATCAGCATTGCCATCGACGACCGTTCGCCTTATCGGGTGGTGCGTTTTCGCACATGTCGTCCCAGAATCCAAATCCAGGGCGAGGAGTCGGAGTCAGCGCCAGAGTCAGCTTCGCCACTGGTAGAGGAGGGCATTTTGGCAGTGCTGAATGGGTGCTTGCCCGTGGACAACATGGAGCAGCTCGACGATGACTATTCAGCAACTCAGCATAAAACTGATCATTCATGTGCTTTTAATTATTAAATGTTTCTGCAGCTGTAGTTCAGACTGGACATTGCTACGTAACAGTAAGAGAGTAGACTGTCCCACGAATGAATTAGATAGTTTAGAACCTTGAGGCCTTCTCAATAATTTAATGTAGACCACTTGCTTCCCAGCAGGATAGGGCTCTAGGGTTCAAGCAATCAGCAGTCTCAAGGAAAAGCTTGCAGAGTCAATGAAGACGGCCATTCAGCGCTTGGCAACTCCCCTAGGGTCAGAGGCCGACCAGAGTGTCATTAATGCATTCTACGAGAAGGTGACATCGGTGGCCACAGATGGTGCCAAGTCTATGCGGAAGGCCGCACTGATCATGGAGAGTCAGATATTCCCGAACATGCGCTTGGCCCTGCCAGATCGGGCACATCAGATACGCAGAGCCTCAATACCGCTGACTTTGGAAAATCGTTTCAGAACTTTCTGGGACAACGTATTCTCCAAGCGTCACGCTCTGGTTCCTGACCTGCAGAACTCCGCACAATGGCAGATGAGGTTTCAGACTATGGAGAACGAGCTCAAGGGTCAGAGTCAGGATGATGAGTTGCCTGGTGGGTTGAAGAAGGCCCTGCGAACCCTTTCGTTCGCAAAACAAAGGTTCGATTCAATGGCAACGCCAGCGTCAAAATTTGTAGCTTTGGTACAACCTTTCGCACTCTTGTTGGCACACCAGAGCACAGACCAGCGTCTAGACCCGCAGGTCCGGTGGCGCTCGCAAGAGATGCTGCAAGCAATGGATGCAGAACTTGTGCTCGTTGCAGGCTTGAGCGCCGACTTCTCTGGCGAAGTGTTAAGATTTGTTCGGCAGCATGATGTCCGGTCCCACGACATCAGCCGGACACTGCAGGAGAGGGACGAGTTTCTGCGCAGACTGGACAAGCTTTTCATCCAGGGTCATATCTTGGACGAGAGTACAGAGTCATTTGCCCACATGGCCTGTCGGAATGCAATTTCGGCTGGCGCCATACAGTATGGGAACCGGATGCATGATCTTTGGGGACCCATGGGCAAGAAGAAGTGTCAGGACATCATGTCCTCTGTGCAGGCTGTCACCGACAGTTGCAGAAGCCGTATCGTGACCGACATGAGTGCCAACGACCCTGAAATGGCCTTTGCAATTTTCAACCTGCAGGGTTGGTGTCAGGGCAGAGCTACAGACCCGGAACACCGTGAAAGGCGCTTCAAGATGCTGAAGCAGCTATGCCGACTTCTCAAACTTCCATATGAGGCAACAAAACTAGAGTTCGAGGGTGTGCTTGCAGAGCTTCTCGAGGATACTGACAGTGTCAAGCAGGCTGGTGCGAATTCCGACAACAGGCCGCTCTGGGCCAGGGCGCTTGGAGATGGCAAGCCGCTCAGTCAGTGTCACGACGAGCTTCAGTACCTGCCCGAGCTCCTGGCTTTCTACCTGAGTGTTTTGGATGGTGAATGCACCTTGGTCTTCATTAATATAAATACTGTTTCAAGTTTCTGACAGGTCCAGGGTGTCAAATTGGAAAAAAATCATTCGAAGAAATAATAGTACTCTAATTCTTAGTCTTAGTGTTAGTTAGTGGAGGCAAACCAGCCCTAGACCGACACCGTCGTATTGTTTTGCCTTGCAACTGGAGGTGGCGTGGAAAGAGACCTGGCAAGCCTGTGCAAGACGTTGGAACAACATCAGGGTCCCACAGACGCAGAAGCCCTGACAGCGTCAGAATTGCTGGAATTGCGCCTGGATGGACCAAAGACAGAGTCAGATGTATTTACTCAAGTGTCAGTGCCAGCGTCTTCCAGCGGTCCAGTTGCTGTGGGGGGCACTGGCACCCTCGAGTTCACCGATTACAGCCGGGCTTGTGCTCGACTTTGGGTTGATTTTTTTGGGCGCCGTTTCGCCTTGTACAAGAACCTTGCCCCTGCTGATAGAAGCGAGAGTCTTTTGCTTCTTATTATATTAAAAAAAAGACTACTTCATACTAATTTAATATTATATTGCTTCTTTCCCTGGCCCTCATAGATTCCCAGGACGAGAACAGATGTCGGTGTCAAGCGAGGCCCAAGAAAGGGCACATTTGCTGCCATCCTCGAGAAGCAGAGACAGAGCATCAAGCAACTGGTGAGCACAGGTGTTGGAGTCAGAGCCAGGACCTTCCTTGGATTTGACAGGAAGCTTTGAGAGTCAGAAACCTTTTGATTTGGTTTGGCTTGCTGCAACATACAAACTTTACACTTCAAGAGGTTACTTTAATCTAACACTAAGTATTAAAGTAGTGATGCCAAGCACGGTCTGGGCAACTCAGGAAGTCCTTTGTCCGGAAAGAGTGTCAGAGGATGAAAAAGAACCCAGCATGGAATGCAAAGTTGGAGAAGTTCCACAAAACAACTCAGAACAGAGCTGAGCAGAGTCAGTTGAACAGGATTCGACTTTTTCAAGGGCGGCCAGCCACCAAGCCCCAGGTGAGACAGGGCCGCGTGTTCGAGAAGACTCCGCAGCTGACCCCAAAAGTGACAGCGTCAACCCTTGTTCTGGACCTTGGTAAGAAAAGTCCTCAGACAAGCTGCTGGGGCACCATGCACAGACCGGCAAATCCAGAGAGTGTCAGTTACAAGGAGATTCGCAAAGCACACATTGTCATTGTGGATTCTGTTTCTCGTGTGGAGCGTCTGGAAGCTGGGTTTCTTGTTTCAATTGCAAGCTTTCGGTTGTCAGGATTAAAAGGGCTAGTGTCAAGACTGGAGGAGCAGGTAGTGTCACTTCATGATTGTCTTGTTTCAGGCAAGGCATGGTGCATCTCTACATCAGTGTGGTGGCACTTGGCCTTGGTCTTGTCACTTCTGCCGATTGGGATCGGGTGGAAAGCCGAGAGTCAAGAATCCGATACTACGACCCTTCGTGCAGCAGCGTCAGTGCCAAGCTTTACATTGCTGATTCCTTCAATGCTGAGTTTCCGAGCACAGCGAAGCTTCTGCGGCATCACTGCCAAAACAGAGAAGACTCTTGGACCAGTGTCAGCCGAAGGGATGATGCTGACTACTGTGTGAATAGTTTCGAGTCACTGCACAATTTTCTGGTGCATGTGAGAAGGCTGTCCAAGAGAAATGCGCCTGGCACCAGACCTGGTCAAGGGTCAGGATGGCACTTTGGAGTTGCTGTGCCACTCTTGAAGAAGCCGCCCCGGTCTGGCAGACAAAGTGCAGATTGATTCAGAGTCAGTATGTCATTGTCACTACTACTTTCGAAATGTGGATGTGCCCAGGACAATCATCAATAAATCCTACTATTCATTCAATGTGAATTTAGAGTGAATATTGAATAGTCCGTAGGGCGTGCGCTTTGTTTGCCAGCAGCGGCAGAACGGAAACAGGCTGCGCATGCAGGAAAAAAATCTGCATTCTGCGTTCAGTGTGCAGTGCCACGCAGAGTCATGTTCCTGCATCGCCATAGAAAACAAGCGTAGGTTAAGACTTGAAGAGCAAAACAGTGTTTGTTTGCCCAGGTTGGAGTCATCTGCTCTTGGATGCGCAGGCCTGAGAGTCTGCTGCTCTCAGTGTCAGAGCATTGTGTGGAATTGGTATTAGCACGTCCACGTGGCACACAGAGTCATGTTCCTGCATTGCCCTAGCAAATGATGAAAGTAACAGTTGAACCTCAAAACAGTGTTTGTGTGCCCAGGTTGGAGTCAGCTGCTCCTTGGAAGTGCCGGCCGCAGACTATGCTGTTTTTTCGGGTGTATGTGGAATTGATATCTTGCTTAGTGTTAGACGTGAGGACAATGAGAAGATCAGTCTATCTGGTGCTTTGCTGAGAATCTGCCAGAGTTACATTTTCAAGCTGCTGTCATTGTCATGTGCTTTGAGATTCTGATGTTGTTCAGGCCAGAGAGCCTCGAGCAGCCCAAAGTCCAGAGTCAGGCTGCCACCTTAGCAGGCTTTGGATTTCGAAGCTGTTAAGAAGCTGCCTGAGCATTAGCCTGAGTCTCTTAGCTCTGCGCCTCTGCTGCTGCTCCGGTGTGTCAGGGTCATGTGTCCTGGAATAGTGATTGCTGTGCCTCTGCTGCGGCTCCGGTGTGTCAGAGTCATGTCTCCTGGAATAGTATTAGGGATTGCTGTGCCTCTGCTGCTGCTCCGGTGTGTCAGAGTCATGTCTCCTGGAATAGTATTAGGGATTGCTGTGCCTCTGCTGCTGCTCCGGTGTGTCAGAGTCATTTGTCCTGGACTGGTAGTAGGGATTGCTGTGCCTCTGCTGCTGCTCCGGTGTGTCAGAGTCATGTGTCCTGGAATAGTAGTAGGGATTGCTGTGCCTTTGCTGCTGCTCCGGTGTGTCAGAGTC